GTCCCACATAATCTAGCCCTTGCCTACCTCCCTGACCTCCCTTTTACTGCTCTCCTCTTGCCCAGTGTGCTCCAGCCACACTGGCCTGGACTGCTCCAGCTCACTCCTCCCTCAGGGCCTTTGCACTTGCTGTTTCTTCCTCCTTGAAGCTCTTCTCTCAGATCTTAGCAAGCTCAGTTCTTCTGAGTGATTGCTCAGCGCCAATGCCTCCTACTCCAGGAGGCCCTCCTTCCTGCTTACCTAAAAACCTGCCCCCTCATCACCATCACACCACCTCATTTTATGTGTTCCACTGCGCCCCCTACCTGTAAACCTATGTCTGCCACACAGTAGATGAATGGATGGCAGAGTGAGCCTTTGAGGCTTCTGAATCCTGAGAAAAATATTAAAACCTTGGTCTCCCATAGCAACAAGGAAATTCCTTACTCCCACACACAGTCCTACATTCTAATCTCCTCTGTCTCCCCTCTGCTGAATCACCTCCAGAGCAGAGGTTTTGTCTATATGCTCAGGGCAGCATCCTCAGGCCTGACGAACAGAGGTGTTCGGTGAATAGTTTAATGAATTTGCTCCTTGTGGAGCCTCTATTTTTTTTTTTTTTTCTTCAGAACAGAACAGAACAGAACAATTTCGTTTGCCTGGAATTGTAAGGCTTGAGCCGGTCAAGGGAGGCCTGGCCGGGAGTAAGCGCTCAGCATTAGGTCAGGCGCACTCTCAAGTCACTTTTCCAGGGCAGAAAGGAGCACGAAAGGAAGTGCGCCCAGGTCCCTTCCCAGGCCCCAGCCAGGGCCTGGAGCGCGGGACTCGCCACCGAGTGGGCGGTCCCTGGTAGGGGTGCCAGCCAGGGCGGAGGGCGCGCGCACAGATGCGGTCGCGGGACTCTGCGGTGGGCAGCGCCTGATCGCGACTTACCCATGGCGAGCAGGACACCCGAGCGTGCTGCGGGCGCGGAGCGGCCAGGCGCGCATCCCTGGGCCGGAGTCCCGGAGTCCCGGAGTCCCGCCAGGCCCACAAACTTTCTGGCCGGCCCGCCTCCGTCCCTCCCTCTCTGCCTGCCCGCCCCCAACGCCGCTGCCACGTAGGCCAGCCCTGGCCCCCTGTGTCTGGAGGCGTGACAGAGGGGCGCCTGCGCCTGGCTGGGGGCCACTACTCGCAGTTCTCCAGGGAGAGATGCCTCTCACCATCCCCCCCAGGGTGCTCCCCACTGTCATCCCTGTTGGGGCCCCCACATGCATTCCCCTCCCCCCCAAACCCCCATAGGAAGAAGACTTTGAAATCACTGCAGTCCACACTAGCCTGGCCACCAGCATGTACACACACACACACGCACACACACACACATGCACACGCACGCACACGCCTCTACACTGATGGGGTCACACACATACCCACTTCAGCCACTCAGACACTCTCCCATGGACTCATCCTCGAGTCATTGGACACAGGTTTGGACACCTCCCAAGTACCACAGGCACTGTGCTAGGCCTTGGGATGGGCTGGGAGAACGAGACGGACAGATTTGTTTGTTCTTGTGCAATTTGCTGTCCAGTGGGGGAGGAAGAAAGGTAAATAACAAGCCAGAGAAATGCCAGCTAGTGATCATGGCTGGGTAGAGAATGAAACTAGGGTGATAGGGCAGGTAGGCACAGGTGGCTGCTTTAGCTCCGGCGTCTGGGAAGGCTGTTCTGAAGAGGGGGTATGTGAGCTGAGACCTCAGCTTCCAGGCAGGGCAGAAACAGCTTGTGGAGTATAAGGAACAACAAAAATGAAGCCAGAGTGTCTGGAGCATGGCACGTGACGGAGAGAGTGGAGGGAGATGGGGCCCAAGAGTGGGGTTGTTAAGGGTCAGATCATTGGAGGCCGGGGTCGGAAATGTGGATTTTATTCCAAGTCTCACACATACACACACACACACACACACACACACACACACACACACACAAATAATTGGGGCATTCTAGTAGGTTATAGGGAGCGAGGGTGCAAACAGGGGAGCTTCTGCAGGTGAGAGGTGGAGTTGATTTGGACTAAGGTGATAGTAGTGGGGATGGAAGAAAGTGGGCAGATGGGAGATAGACTTGATAAGGACCTACTGATGGAAAAGGTGCAGCTTAGGGCAGGAAAGAACATCTACAGTTCTGTTTTGGCTGTGTGACATTTAAGGTGCTCACTCAGCATCCCTGTGTAAACAGGTAGGGTGTTCGATGGAAGAGTTTGGAGTTCTGGAAAGGAGGCAGGCTGGGGATACCCCCACTAATTCTCACTCTCAGGCAAAAACATATACATGGTCACAGGCTTTTCTCATCCTATGCTCATACACAGACACATTCGTTGACATGTGTCACATACCCTCACCCAGCATGGACTGTCTGCCACAGACACAACTGGGCATCCAGCAAAGAAGACAGCATTTGACAAGACCTTCTGAGCCAGGGGACCCTGTACACTTCGGAAAATAATAATAGCTGGGGCAGTTTGAAAACATGGCTCCAAAATTCTTTGTTTCCTTCCTTGAGATCAAAGTGGGCTTGTGACAGCTTCAACCAGTGCACAGAGTAGCACTGTGTGACTTCTGAGGCTGAGTCAGGGGGACACTGGCGCCTGGAGCCCCACACCTCTAGGAAGTCCCACTACCCTGAGGCCGCCATGCTGTGAGGAAGTCCCAGGTGCAGAGAGAGGCCACGTGGGCATGCCTTAGTGGGTGGCCCAAGCCTTTGAGTCATCCCAGCATGGCTCCAGAAGGAGCCTTCAGGTGATTCCAGCTCCCAGTGTCAAATCTTTCCAGCTGAGGTCCAGGATCATGGAGAGCAAGCATGTCAAACTCGCAGCCCGCCAGCCACATGCCGCATTTATTTGGCCTGTGTTAGCCTTTGAGTTTGACATGCTTGATGTAGAGCAGAGACAAGCCATCTCTACTGTTCCCAGGCTGGATTTATGACCCACACATTCCATGAGTATTAATTAAATGGTTGTTTTAAGGTCCAAAGTTTTGGAGTAAATTGTTATGCAGCAATAGTAACCAGGACAATAGCTTTAACTATGGGGCAATGATTATATACTTTGATTTCAGCACTTTACAAATATTAGCTCACTGTTAATCCTTACAATTACCTAATGAGAATGGAATTATTACAATTACCCCATTTTATGAAAGATGTAATTGAGGCAAAGGGAGGGGAAGTAACTTGCTTGCATAATAAACAAATAAATAAGATAAATAAAGCTCAAAGACAATCACTAGTATATAGCTGAGCTGGGAGTCAAGCCCAGTCATGGGGAAAGCAGGTACTTAACCATCACGCTCTGCTACCTTTCGGGCATGGAAAGATCCCAAGGAGGCCTCTTGGCCATTGCCAAGTGACAGCTCCTCCTTCGTCTGTGGGTGTCTGGAATTGTCACCAGAAGACCTGGTACAGCAAGTGCTCCACTCCTGTGAGATACCCTTTAGAAGTTATACGGTGGAATGGAGCATGGAGTTCTCTGTGATCTCTGTGGCTGGCATTAAGTCATGCAGATGTTTGCACACTTGCTGTCATGTTCTCTCTCTCCTAGAGCAAGAGAATCCCTCTTTATTGGTTTTCCCAGATGAGAAAGGAAAAGTTCTAATCAAGCATTTTGGTAGCATCTTCACAAATGACTTCCCTTGAGGGTGCGCAGGGCCTAGTGATTCATTTCTAACTAATAGAATACAGCAAAAGTGGTTACGTCATCTCAGAGATTAGGTTATGAATGACAGTGACTTCATCTTGCTCATCCTTTCCTGAGCTCTCACTCATTTACTCTGATGAAGCCACCTGCTATGTCATGAGAGGCCCACGTGGCTAGAGGTGAGGGAGGCCTGTAGGCAATAGGCAGCAAGGTACGAAGGCCCATGAAGATATAAACCCCACCACCAATCGAATAGTCATACAAACAAACAAACAAGACCGTCTGTGACAATGCAAAAGAGAAGAGGTTCATGGGGACACCAGAACTTATAAAAGTTGGATTTTTCCCTCTTGTGAGAAGTCAGGAGGGCTTCCCTGGGGAAGTGACATTTGAGCTAAGAATGAAAGGATATGTAGATGGGTCTAGGCAACAAAGGGAGGGAAGGGCAGTGGGAAGCTGCAGGTGCAAAGGTTCGATGGCAAGAGGGAACCTGGAAAGAATGAAAGACTGAGAGAAAGCAATTTTGTTTGAAGATCGAGCACAAAGGGGAATTTGGTGGGAGTTACGTCTGGAAGATGGACGTCGTGTTCCCATGCAGGACCTTGTGCTTGTGGGTCTTTATCCCAAGCACAGTGGGAGCCATTGGAAGGCTTTAAGCTAGGTTTCCTGCCATAGAAGCCAGAACCAGTCTGACCATAGCAAGCCTGGGATGTAAATATGTTTGCACAGTGGATTTTTCAAAGGCGGGGCTCAGACCGATTTGGTAACCATAGAAACAGAAGGCTTATGTGGACACTAACAATTATGATAATGAAACCACACACTTGGGAAACTGGGCGTTATTAATCGAGTTAGTTCTGGGTGAGCTCTGAGTAGTCTCGCCTGATGAAGGGTGCTGGAAACCACAGTATACCATCACAAAGGGTCTGATGTTTGAAAAGGTGACCCGCCCTGTGATGAATGAAATTGTGGAGCTGGGAGTTGGCGGCACAGCAACCCTGGGACCGAAGGGCCTTTCTTCAGTGTTTCAGAGTCCCAGTGATAGGCGAAAAGGAAGATGAACATATGAAGAGTGCATGCCATCCACCAGGCACCCGCACAGGCAACATCTTATTTAATTTTAATAAGCAATTGCCAAAATAAAACTGATTATCTTCGTACTGAAGGTGACGAAGCTGAAACTCAGAGAAATGATGTTGTTTTGCTGCATTACACGTGGTGCCAGGAACCTGTGTTTGCCTCCTAGGCAGTAACGCCCAGCTCCGGAAAAGACCGGAGATTCTGGCAGCAGTTTTCCGGAAAGAGCCGAAGAGCTGGGAGGCGGGGCCACAAGAGTCTTTTCGGGGCTTCCGTAAGAGCCGAAAGGTCGGGAGGCGGGACCACTCGCACGGGGCGTGAGTGTCGGAATTCGATTGGCCAAAGAGAGCCGAGGACCTTCGGAGCGAGCCGAACGTCTCCGACAGCCCCCGGGCAGAGCCGAGGGGCGCCGAGGCGCAGCAATGGCGGCGGCCGGAGCTGTGGCGGCGGAGAAAAGCGAGGAACCGACGCCAGAGGCCGATGCGCTGGCCACCGATGCGCTGGCCGCGGCCCGGGAGCGGTGCAGCCGCTTCTTGAGCGGCCTGGAGCTGATGAAGCAGGGCGCCGAGGCGCGCGTGTTCCGCGGCCGTTTCCAGGGCCGCGCGGCCGTGGTGAAGCACCGCTTCCCCAAGGGCTACCGGCACCCGGCGCTGGAGGCGCGGCTCAGCCGGCGGCGGACCGTGCAGGAGGCCCGGGCGCTGCTCCGCTGCCGCCGTGCAGGTGAGACGGCGTGGCTCGGGGCCGAGGCGGTGCGGATGCGGGTGCAGGTGAAGGACTCTCTTGCGCCCCCTGCGGTCTGCGTGGCCTTGAGTGCGTCCTCTGTCCCTGCCTCTTCATTCATTAATGCTTAGGCAGCCTCTGGGCCTTGCAGGGACGAGCATTGGTCCTGGAGCCTGGTCAGCCTGGTCAATACCAGGCTCTGCCACGGTGGCTCCTGTAGAGGGCGTTATTTAACCATGCTCAGTCTCGATTGCCCCTTTTGTGCCCTCTCAGTATTGGATCATTATCTATGCACTAGTGGCCTGGTGCACGAAATTCGTGGGGGGGGCGGGGGGGAGGCGTCCCTCAGCCCAGCCTGCACCCTCTCTAATCGGGGACCCCTTGGTGATCTGGGACTGCTGGCTCCTAACCGCTCACCTGCCTGCCTGCCTGCCTGATTGCCCCTAACCTCTCTGCTTGCCTGGTCACCCCCAACTGCCCTCCTCCACTGGCCTGCTCGCCCCTTACTGCCTCTGCTTCTGCCCCCACCATCATGGCTTTGTCTGAAAGGAAGTTGGAAGTCAGGAAGATGGCAGGTCGACTGGGTCTAATTAGCATAGTACCCTTTTATTAGTATAGATTATGTAGTACAGGATTGCTTAAATGGTGGGGAAAAGCCTTTTCCAGCAGAAGATGCTCTTGGCAGACAAATACACATAATCCCTGTATCTGGACTGATAGCCAGCCATATGCACTATGCTGCCAAACTGGTCATTAAAATATTGAACCACTTTTTTACATCTTACACCAAGTAGCTGTTGCCCTTAAAAACCCCTACTCAACCCCCACCTTAGGCTCTGCCTTCTCAGTTCACCCAGATTAGGTTCTGATTGGTTGGTTTCTATGCCATCAGCATCAAAAGCTCTGCCTCCTAGGCAGCCATTGGCTCCTCACAGTTCACTCAGACTTGGTTCTGATTGGTCAGTTTCTATGCCAGTCAGTGTCAAAAGCTCTGCCTCCTAGGCAGCCATCTTGTGAGGGCATGAGGGTTAATTTGCATATTACCTCTTTATTATATAGGATTACTTTTAAGAAGCAGATGCAAGTATAAGTACTTGCGCTGGAGTCAGACTCTGGGTTTAAATACCGACACCACTGTAGCCTTTCAACAGGTTTTGTAACCTCTCAGCCTGTTTCCTCGCCCATAAAGAGAAATCCCAGTTGCAGTATTAATCTCATAGTGCTTTTGGGACCATACGATGAGGTATGTATGCCATGTATTACATTTGAATGTTTGACTGGCATGTAGTGCTTAATGAATTTAGCTTTCATTAAATCACTTTTTTCCCCATTAAAACACCATTGTGCACCATCTCCGTAAACTTGTTCTCAGGTGAGAAACTGCGTCTCAGAGAGGGGGCAACTTGCCCAAAGTTACTCAGTTAGTGACCCAGCCAAGCGCTCAGCTCCTCAGCTCGCATTCCTCTGCCTCAGAAAAACGGGCTTCTCACTTTCATACTTCCTGCCTTTCTTCCTGACATTGGTATTTTTTTAGGCACGTGGGCACCCGGACATTGTCAGGTGCTGGGAGATCTGGAGGAAATGCAGTAGTGAACAAGCAGGCAGATCTTTGACCTGCTTGGGTTTAAGGAAGTTATTTGTGTGTTTATATTTTCTTTTGCATCCTCTCTAGGATATAAGGTTCATTAAGCAGGGATCGTGGCTGCCCTATTTCCTGCTGTATCTCCCCCAAACCCCCCAAAATGTTCCCAGTATCCTGAGCATGATTGACATTTAGTAAAGATTCATTACATCTTTGCAAGTCTTGTTCTCATGTTATAGAAGCAGTAAGGGAGGTGGAGAGAAGTTGATGTGACTTTAAGGTTATACAAGTGGCAACCAAGCGTAAATGAATCAGGAGACCTTGTTAAAGTTGAAAATGACAAAGTTTTATTCAAGGGTCTTAGAATTTGCAAATTGGAAACGTTACGGGGTAACACCCAGAGCGTTCCAAAGAAAAAAGTTGGGAGTTCTTATAGTAAAAAGTACATTCTTGAGAAGACTCAGCCCTGTATTCCTAGCCTCTGGATTGGTCTGAGGTACGAATCCTCTAGATTAGTGATGGTCTGCACAATGAATATCAGTTCTTCAGGGAGTTATAGTATTTATATATCCTCCAGTTCAAAAGTTCACGTTCTTCGGCTAGTTAAAATGAAGTAAAATCTTTTCCTTGGGCTTCCTCCCGTTTGTCTGAACCAATTTGGTCAGCCTGACTATACAGACTCCCTTTTAAGTCAGCCTAGCTGTACTGGTTTCATCTTGTTTTCTTCACCCCTTGCTCACAACTAACAAGGAAGGGAGCTGGGAGTTGAATTCGTCCTTCTGACTTGGAAGATGAATCTGGAAGCCAGTACACTGCTTGGCCTCCTGTTTGGATCCTTATCAGGTAGATAGTGCTTTTCCTGGGCTACACTTACCCTTCTGGCTTTGTTTGCTTGTTTTTTAGGAAATAAGTATGAGTGAAGTCCAGTCGTAACGGGTGGAAAGTTGGAGGGAGCTTTGGCACTGAACTTAGCCAGGAGGTAGTTTAGAGAGCAGTTATAAAGAGCATGAGCAGGGGAAACTTTCAGATGAGTTCCAATGTACCATTCTGCAGTGTTTTTAAGTCTTTTTCCTGAAATAAGCAGATAGGAAATTAAAAAACTGCATCAATCTTTGAAAGTTAAGCTTATCATTTAAAAAAGAGTCTAATTCACACGGGTTATGTCTTGATTGCAGGGATATCTGCCCCAGTTGTCTTCTTTGTGGATTATGCTTCCAACTGCTTATTCATGGAAGAAATTGAGGGCTCGGTGACTGTTCGAGATTATATTCAATCCACTATCGAGACTGGAAAAACTCCTGAAAGTCTCCTTGGCTTAGCCAAGACTGTGGGGCAGGTTTTGGCTCGCATGCACGATGAGGACCTCATTCATGGTGATCTCACCACCTCGAACATGCTCCTGAAACCCCCCCTGGAGCAGCTGAACATTGTGCTCATCGACTTTGGGCTGAGTTTCATTTCAGCACTTCCGGAGGATAAGGGGGTTGACCTCTACGTGCTGGAGAAAGCCTTCCTCAGCACCCATCCCAACACCGAGAGTGTGTTTGAAGCCTTTCTGAAGAGCTACTCCGCCTCCTCCAAAAAGGCCAAGCCGGTGCTCAAAAAATTAGATGAAGTGCGCCTGAGAGGAAGAAAGAGGTCCATGGTCGGGTAGAAGGATGCGTGTGACAGCCACGGACAGTTAAGCTATTTACCTCACAGTAAATTTGAAGAAGTGCTAAGAGTGTGGATTACACCTAAAAAAAAGTATTGGGATATTTTTAAGTGCTGTCTGCGTTCATGCTTGTTAAGTGTCATTATCACCTACACTGGACTGTTCTCAGGAGCTTACCATGTCCATAAGCCATGTTCTAGACCAGGGTGGGCAGCATCTGGCCTGTGGGCCGCGTAAGACCTGCAAAACCATTTGATCTGGCCCTGCCAATGTTTGATCAAATATAGCGGGCTAATTTTTAAGTTGATAATTTTGTATGACCTGCAAATGATGATATAATTATTCAAATGGCCCATGGCAGGAAAAAGGTTCCCCACCACTGTTCTAGACAACTGAGTACAAAATAAACCTAGGACAGGCTTTCTCCTCAGGAGCATGGGCATGGCAATAAAAAACATTGACCCACATGATGAGAAGAGTGTCCTCTGTTCATTCCTGGGGAGACGAGAACAAAGTCTCGGTGACAGTGCATCTATACCGGCCTTTTAAACCAGTGTTGTTTGTTGTGTTCATGACATTCCTCTTGGAATCAGTGTAGTGGGATACAAGCAGCATTTTAAAAATAAAGTAGAATCAGAATAAAGTAGAATGTGCATTACATGGAGTATTGTCAGTACTGTTTTATAAGACTTATTTATATATGTGTATATAGACGAGTATGTACTGGGTTTTGATGTAAAATATATTTTGAGACTTATGGTGAAAAAGATGAAAAATACTGCTTAACTCCAATTTCCCTTTAAAAAGCTTTTATACAACATTGTTTTTATATGTGTTGCTCTGTGATTTTATGGTTATCTTCTAGTTACGACAATGATTGACATAAAGTCCTTTTAGTTTATATAGGTAAAAAAGCGAATCACTTTGTCTCACAGACAATAAGTAGATAGAGTAAAAATGGTGACGTGGCTTGGCTGTGACTGAAGTTTGATGAAGCCTGGTTTACAGGAAGGTAGAAGAAACCTGAAATACGATGCAAAGTGCCACTAATAGCTCACGCTTAACGTTGCCCAGCCTCAGTTTCTTGCCCCAACGAAGGTGTGTGTGGAAGGCATAGTAAAATACTCTTGTCAGCTCCAACTAGCAAGTGAATATTTTGTGTGCCTGGCACTGTAGTAGGTACTGGGTACAACAGTGAACAAGATGGACACGACACCTGCTCTCCTGGACGGAACATTCGGGTGGGCCCGAGATGTGTCTGTTTCCATCACCATAGCTACCACTTCCATGTGGCAGATGCCCAGGAATGAAAGAAAGCAGCCCTTCCTGGGCAGTGGTGACTCGTAGAACTAATCATCACCTGGTTACTGCATGTTAGGCATTGTGCCAGGATCTAAAACAAACTACGTTAGGCATTGTCCCCATTTTATAGATGGAGAAATGGGTTTAAACTGGGGGGAACTTATCCAAGGTGTCACAGCTAGGGGTACTTCACCTGCTTCCAAAGCCCACGTTCTTTCCACTGATCCTTTAAGAAATGAAATGCTGGCTATGACAGGTCTTAATCTGATAACTAGAGGTCTGGTAGATGAATTCGTCACCAGTGGGGCCCCTCGACCTGGCCTGTGGGATCGGGCTGAAATTGGCTCTCTGACATCCCCCGAGGGGTCCCGGATTGCAAGAGGGCATAGGCCAGACCGAGGGACCCCAACAATGCACCATTGGGGCCGGGGAGGGATGCAGGAGGTTGGCCAGCTGGGGAGGGACCACGGTAGGGCTCCAGGGTATGTCCGGCCTATCTTGCTCAGTCCCAATTGGCCAGACCCCAGCAGCAAGCTAACCTACTGGTCAGAGCATCTGCCCCTGGTGGTCAGTAGATGTCATAGCGACTGGTCAACCGGTCAGCTGTCTGCCCCCTGGTGGTCAGTGCACATCATAGCGAGCAGTTGAGCGGCCTTAGCATACTACACTTCGATTGGTTGAATGGACTACCGGACACTTAGCATATTAGGCTTTTTTATTATATAGGAGGATGTGTATTGGCAGTATATAACATTTTTAAACATCTCCAGAGGCTGGCTTTTTTTTTTTTTTTCAGTGAGTATGTAATAAGACAGAGGGCATGCCATAACTGGTTTGGCTCAGTGAATGGAGCATCAGCTTGTGGACTGTAAAGTCCAGGGTTCGATTCCGGTTGAGGGCATGTATCTTGTTTGCAGGCTCCATCCCAGTGGGGGGCATGCAGGAAGCAGCTGATAGATCTTTCTCTCTCATTGATGTTTCTAACTATCTCTCTCCTTTCCTCTCTGTAAAAATCAATAAAATATACATACTTTTTAAAAAGGACAGAGGGCTCATCCCCCAGGGTCCTCAAATGTACTATAAGGTTGATTAAGGCCAGTGTCTACCTGGTGGGAAGAGTGAATGAATTCCCACCTGAACGTGTGCAGATGATAAGTCACCCAGCACTCACTCTGTGCCTGGTCCTGGAGATAGGGAGCACGGAGGCTGTCCTCACTCTCCTGGAAGCATAAACGAAGTGCCCATGACAGTTTCAGACAGCGACGCATGCTGTAAGGGTGCTACAGTCCTGTGTGACCTCAAGGGGAGGAGGGAAGTGGTCAGGGAAAGCCTCTGATGAAGTGACATGGGAGCTAAGATGTGCAGGCAAACCTGAATACCGGGAGTGTATTCCAGGCAGAAGGGCCTTCACGTACAAAATAGCAAGGCCAGTGGGGCTGGTTTGCAACAAGCCAGGAAGAGAGACAGGAAATGAGGCCAGAGGTAGTTAGGGGCCTGTAGCAAGGTTGGGTTTTATTCTAAACTAGAGGCCCGGTGCATGAATTCGTGCACCAGTGGGGTCCCTTGGCCTGGCCTGCAGGATTGGGCTGAAACCGGCTCTCCGACATCCCCCGAAGGGTCCCGGATTGCGAGAGGGAGCAGGCCAGGCTGAGGGACCCCACCGGTGCAAGATCAGGGCCGGGGAGAGATGCAAGAGGTTGGCCAGCCGGGGAGGGACCACAGGAGGATTCCAGGGTGTGTCCGGCCCATCTCAGTCCCCATCAGCCAGACCCCAGCAGCAAGCTAACCTACTGGTCAGTGTGTCTACCCCCTGGTGGTCAGTGCATGGCATAGTGAGCGGTTGAGCGGCCTTAGCATATCATTAGCATATTATGCTTTGATTGGTTGAACGGTCATCCGGACACTTAGCATATTAGGCTCTTATTATATAGGATGTATCTCAGAGGGTTTTAAACAGGGAGACATGTTTTGAAAGCATTACATTGGTAGAAAAAGGAATAGGGGCAAGAAATCAACAAGAAGGCCACACAACCGGCTGGGCCAGTGATGTGGTAGCTGGGGTGGAGGGGTGGCCAAGCGTGGCTGTAAGCCGCTTGACAGCCCTTGGTGTGAGTGACATGGCAGCCAGCAGCGGTGGGGAAGGAAAACGGATCTCCCCTGCAGACGTTGAGAGGGAGAGGGATACTGCAGACCACTGGCTTATCTGTGTACCCGGCCTATGGGAAGTAAGAGGTTAACAAGCATTCCGAAGCGGCCCTAGTTGTCTCACAAGCTCTGAGGCGTCCTCCTGCCATTCCAGCTCCCTCGGGGTCCATGCGGGGTTGGCCGGTGCTTTGTAGTATGAGCCAATGACAGCTGTGTGTGAATTCCCACCTGAACCCTCAGACAGGAGTTATAACCCCCCTTTACAGATGGGAAAACACGCGTAGCAATGAAAAACATCATGTCCCAATGTCACAGTCAGTGGCAGAGCTGGGTTTCAAACCTTGGGAGGATAGCCCACATTTTAAACAACGGCAACCGTTTGTTGAGAAGTTTTAAGTTCTTGGCATGCATTAACCCATTTCACAGAGGAGGCAAGTGAGGCTCAGAGAAATTGAATCTTGCCCAAGGTCCCCCAAGTAGTGAGTGGCACAGTCAGGGAAATGTGATGTGACCCTGAGATCTGTCCATCACTGAGAAGGGCATGGCCCACATGTGGAATATTTAAAAGAGCCTCATGGGCAGTCCATGGGCCACAGGAAGGACTTACACAAGCCTGGCATAGTGAGTGCCCTGTACAGGCGTGCTCTTGTTAAGTTAGGTGAGCTGACCACACCGGCACCATGTGCAGGCTGGAGGGCTTTGGGAACACCCGCATTCATGAAGCATGTGGGGTATAAACTCGCTGTAACTAAGAAAGTAAACCCTAATCCTGGTCCTGGTTCTAATAAAATTTTACTTACAAAAACAGGCAGCTGACTTGTGTGCATTCGCTTGCCAACTTGATTTTTTAAAGTATTACATTAAAACATCTGTCTTGATTACCGAGTTTTTAGGTGCCCCCTTAGCTTGTGCCCTAGGAAGAGCCTCATTCGCCTGGTCCCTGTCCTCACCCGGCTGACCCTGACTGCTAGAACCCGTGTTCTTACAAACCTCTTTTGGGGGAACCGGGAATATCCTCTCCGGTCCTGAAGTTGGCACTGCAACTCCAAAGCACTGAATTCCCCTTTCCCCAGCCCAGAGGAGTGGCTCTCTTTTGCCACTAGAGGTCGCAGGTTACTCTCATTCCTGGAGCAAAGATGTAAAGGAATCTTCCCTCCCATTCCTCCTTCTCCACTTCCTCCTCCCCTCTCTCTTCCTCCATCCTGCCTCTCTCTGCCTTTCTCCCTCTCCTTCCTCCCTCTTCCCTCTTTCCTTCCCATCTCCCTCTCTCGAATTTGTTCATTTATTCACTCAACACTAGCTCAGCATCCATATGTGGTGGGCACCATGCTCATCGCTCAGAACGGAGCGAGCAAGACAGATGTGGGATGCCTACTTCCCTCCTGTCTTAATTTGTCACCCATCCCCTAACCTTCACTCATTCATCCACCGTGTATTTATTGAGCACCTCGGCTGTGTCTGGCTCAGAAGGAGCCATGGTAGTAAGAAAATCCAGCTACCGCCGGGAGCCCCTCGCCTCTCCCCACACTGCCGCCATCAGTGGTTCCCCCACTGCTCCCCTTGCTGCTGCACTAGCCCCTACAGTCTTCCTCATCAGCAGTGAGAGGCACCTTTCAGAGCCAGATGATGCCACCTCTCTACTGAGAAGTTTGATGGCTTCCTATCCCTTGTCTCCTTGCTTACCAGCGGCCTGGCTCGGGACCCCCCACTGCACCTCTCTGAGCCTCAGTGTCATCTGCAAAGTGGGCTCACAACGGTGCCTCCCTCATGGAGCTGTTGGTCAGAATCCCCAGGAAACAGACTCTGAGATGCAGTTGAGTTATAGGAGATTTACTAAGGCATGGCCTTGGAGTTAACCTCCGCAGAAGGGAAGGGAAGGGAAGGGAAGGAGATGGGGAGGGCAGAGGGAGAAGTGGGCTGAGAGGCAGCCCTGACCACAGCCTCAGCTGACCCCACGGGGAGCTTTTCAGCTACCATGGCCTGCGGAGATGTCCCAAGTTGAGCCGAGATGACCGGGCCTTCATAACCCCACATCACCCAGTCATTGGCGGGCCACCCCCGGGGAGGGTATGAGCTTGGATACGAGGCCACTCTCTGCCCATCACTCCATCCCGGAAGCGCAATAACTGGAAGCTGCCTGCTGACGGCTCCTGCATCCGAGGCAACCGGTCCTTCCATGCCCACTGCAGGCATCAGTGACATAATGCATGTGGAGTATTGCAGTGCCTGGCACTAGCTATTGCTGCTGTTGTTGTTATACAATTTGTTGCTAGTATTTTTAGAGACCAATACACAGGCAATTTTAATACGACACTGTATGCTCAATGTATAAGCCAAGGGTACTCAGGTGCACTTTTCCACATAGCCAGGCAC